ACATAAATACGGGACACATTTTTTGTTACAAAAGGGGGAGTCGATCCAATTGATTTGACCATAGTAAGAAGTAGGTGGGGGGCTCTTGAAAAGCATCATGTTTTCTTTTGTGGTTAAGGAAAAGATGGCGAATATGGTGTTTGAGAAAGTAAGGATGGAGATTGATTGGAAGAAATGGCAAGAGCAGCTGTAGGTAGAGGTTGCGATGTTAAAGACTAAACTAGTCGCATTAGCAAAGGAGGCGAATAATTTAGTACAAACCAATACACCAGTTTCAGCAACAATACCTTCGAAGATACCTTTGAAATCGATAGAAGAATGGCAAAAGATGTTGCAGGAGCGTGACAACTAAATTGCCCGATGTGAGTCTCAGGTACGGGAATTGGATTTGTTGAATGAAGATCTGATGACGCATTTGGATAGAGAATCCTCGAATACTGAGGCAGACGATGAAGATGTAGCAGAAGAAAAGATTAAGAATTCAAAGGATGATAAGCCAACGCCATTGACTGAAGAAGCCAACGCTGCTATGTCTTTATATGCTGAGACTAAATAATATTTACGAAGAGGTTGCACAATTAAGAGTGGGGCTATGTAGAATAGGTAAATAAACTTTGTGGTAAGTAACTGATTGGTTATTGACAACCTTAAAAATTAAACTAATGGTTATACAGTTTAGTTGATAACAGTAGGTTGTTAGTGGAATAAATGCTTAAGATTTCAAAGGGTCATAACATTTTGAATCCGCTGGCCGATAGATCATCTTTTTGGTAAAATAAATAGGTTGAGAAAAGTAAGCCGAGAGCTAGACTGTGAGAGTCGTAAGCCGAGAGCCAGACTATGAGAGTCGTAAGCTAAGAGCCACATTGAGAGAGTGATAAGCCAAGAGCTAGACTGTGAGAGTCGTAAGCCGGAGTAAGCTTGGTACTACCTCTTTTTTTTCTTTGCTTTTATTATTTACTTATGAAGAATTGTGATTGAGAGAAGTATTATAGAATTGATAGTCGTAGAATGGATTATGTATTGAATTAAGATAGAAGTAGTAAGCCTTGGTGTTTTGTAGTTTGATAATTGATTTCAGATAGCTAGAGTATAGTCAATTGTGACACTAATAGACCCAATTCATATAATCAGTCTTACTCCGTGTTCGAACCCACCTCTAATAGTTCAATTGCTTTGATATATCGAAGCTTGAACTCAACGAGTACAACAGCTATAAAAAGAGAAGAGATTTAAATGAGAGAAGAAGCACAAAGAAACAATTCAAAAGCTAAAGCAATTATTATCTTCTCCACCTGTATTGCGAAGGATAAGTTATGAGGATGGCAAATCGGTGATACTTATAATTAATACTAGTCCAATAGGTGTTGGTTGGGCTTTAGGACAAAATGATGAAGAAGGTAACATGTTTGCTATTAGATTTGGAGCTTAAGTATTAAGTGAATGATAAAGAAACTATCCACAGGTGAAACGGGAACTATGAAGAATAGTTACAGCTATGAAAAATGAAAGATATTATTTAATTGAGGCACCAGTGATAGTAGAAACAAATTGTTTGCCACTATTGGGAATGATTACCAATTGTAACATCCCTGATATTGCTATGCTAAGATGGATTGCATATATTAAATCTTTGAATCCTGAATTTAGCATATAGCAGGCAAAGATAATCTTGTAGCAGATATGCTATCCCGAGCTAGATATGAACAAGAAGAAGATTTGATTGAAGATATTGAAGATGTAGGTACTACCTTTTATTCTAGGGCACAACAAGTAGAGGATGAATATCCAAGTCCATTTATAGAAGAATTATATGAAGAAGAATGGATTGATATTGGGCACTATTTAAGCACATTATCAAGACAATTAAGATGGAGTGATATTCATTTCAAAAAGATTAGACGGAAGGCTTACAACTACCTCTTACAAGGTGGTTACCTATAAAAGCTATGCAAACGGGATAGTGGAATGCTACAAAGAGTAGTTTGCAAGAAAGAAATGCAAGAACAGTTAATCCATAAATTCCATGATAGTTTGTGGGCTGGACATAGAGGTATTTATGCCATCTTTAACAAGCTCAAAGAAAAATATTAGTGGCATAACATGTATAAAGATGTGGTGAAGTTTGTAGAATCATGCCAAACCTGTCAGATATACTCGAAGATTCGACATAGAGATGGATTGCATCCTACATATCTACTTGCAATACATTATAAATGGGTTGTGGACCTAGTTACTATGCCTATGGGAATATGGCAAATGCTGTACTTGACCTTGGCACGAGAAGATTTATCTAACCAAGTAGAAAGAAGAGCTCTACAAACAAAATCCACTGAAAGACTTTGTAGATTTTTACTAGAAGATGTGATTTGTAGATATGGATGTATTGGAAAAATTACTACTGATCATGGAGAATTGGATGCAGATGAGGTTAGACAATTCTTTGAGAGATGTGGAGTCAAGCTAGCACATACTACATCTTATAATCTGGAAGGCAATGCTAACAGTGAGCGAGGTCATCCTCCTATTGTAAAGGCCATTGTTAAAGCTTGCAAAAGAAGAATAAGAGAATGGCCAAGATTATTACCATTAGCTCTTTGGGCTGATCGTACTACTCACAGTTCAGTGACAGGATGTATGCCGGTAGAACTAATGCAAGGATAGAAGCCCATTATGCCCATTGAAGAGCAAATACCTACTTGGAGTATCTTGCCTTGGCAAGACAATATATCTAAAGAAGAACTTCTTGTACTTCAAATTTTTCAACTAGAAAGAAGATCTGAAGATATGAAAAAAAGTAATTATAAGGCTAAGAGAGTCACGCTTGAAGAATAAAGATAGATTTGATAAACAACACAGATTGAAGCCAAAAGATATTCAAGAAGGTGATTGGATTTTAGTATATGACAATAGCTTGGATAACCAACATAGTGCTCTCAAAAAGTTTTCTAAGCATTGGTTTGGATCTTATGTAGTTGTACATGTTTTGGATAATGCTACATATGCGTTAAGGGAATTAAATGGAACAAGACTCAAAATTCCAATTGAAGGAAAACGTATAAAACTTTTCAAACAACGAGATCAAGAACTAGTCCTCGAAGATGTTGAAGAAGAATTTGATCTATCTAGGTATGAGGAAGAAGAATTGGATTTTGAAGAAGACATTACTGAGGAGGTAATATAATGCCGACCACAACTTTGGTTCTTCTTGGTGCATACCGGAGGATGCACAAGTTTAAAGGAGGTGGATGTCGTATTGTAGTTTAGCTACTATATGAAAATAATGTAATTATGTATTTAATATATGATTTATCAAGTAACATGGTGAGAGCCATATTAGTAGATTTTAGTTGATTGTAGAATATAATTTGATTATTACCTTGAAAAGAGGTTGTTTAAAAAGATTACTATAGAATTTGTATAATTTTAATTTTCTTTTGATAGTGGCTTTTAAGATTGGTTTTGGTTGATAGTAACTTCTAAATATTTAGAGTCACCTTTGTTAGACATTAGTGACCTTTGAAAACTTCTTTTGGTTCTTTTATTTGGTGTTTAGAGCATAAATTATGTAAATCTTATAAGAAAAAGGATTGAAGAAGGATTTTGGTAGCAAAGAAAATAATTAAGACACCAATATAAATGAATAGAGATGAATAATGAAAATCTCCATTCCTATTGGTAAAAAATCATGACCAATGAGCTTTGAGGAGGCTACCTGAGGCCATATTAGGGATTAGGATTAGTTTCTCAAGGCTATTAGAGTTTTGAAAGCTAAGATCAAAAGGTTTAGGTTTTTGGCTATGGTTTTGGTACAAGTTTATGGTTTGGAGTTTATATGAAAGAAATACAAGCACTCAAAGTTAAGGTGTTGATTTGGGAGCTACAGTCACTCTTTTTGACATAATGAACGCGTACAGACAACAATTGAGGATTGGTGACCGTGATCCTGAGACTCACATGGCATTAGTTTTCAATTCCAGACAATATGTTTGGATGAGAGAATTGCAAGAGTCTACATTTATCAAATTAATAATTGACAACTATTCAAATTTGTTAATCAAGCTAATTTTTCAATCAATCCAAAAAGAACCAATGAAAGCAACTGAAAACACTAATATAGATTCCTCTTTTTGAAATTATGTCTTGTGCTGGTGTACCTCTAAGTAGAATTTTATACCTACAAGACTCCATTGCATCAATGCCGGCTGTTTTATCGAAAAACAATTCGTTCTACAAGCTTCAACCTCTGAACGTAAATGATCAACCACAGAGTAAACCAATGTTACGAAAATTCAATTTCCATCACTCCTATTCATCGGTACTCAAAGAATGAACCAAAATCAAGCACCTAGAAGCGTCATATCCACAAAACCAGAAACATTACCAAGTACATGTACAATAATCTTCAATATTACAGTCATCATCTAATAATGCAGAATGCTGCCCCAATCAACATTGCATCGTTAAGGAAGCAACTTCAGTAACCTACCTATGTACAGTGGGCACTAGTATCGTAGTTTACTAGACGTTTAACAAGCTACACGATCATGTACATAAATGCTCCATTTTCATTCACCAAACCTCTAAATCCCCTACAAAATGCCTGATACAGAGGTCGACACTCACCAGAAGAATCTTGCAAGTTGAGTTGATATGCTCACTACACTGCAGAAATAAAGAATGGGTGACACAAATCTAAAGCTAAAACTGTGCTACATAGGTTTTCACGTGTTGCTGAAATCCAGAATTGAGCTGATTGAATTTCTTTAAACATGCAGCAGGGATGCCTACGTGCATTAAACACTTTGATAGAGTTGGTGGTCATTGAGAGGTTGGGCACGGCTACGAATTCGTCAGTACTCGCCCTGTATTGATAAGTTGCTGCAGAGTCCTGCTTGAAGAGATTATTTGCGAGGTCCCCGTCGGCCCGGCCTCCCTCCACCGAGTTCATTGTTTGCCACACTAATCCCAAAGAATAAAGAAATCCATAAAAAAGTAACCATGAAGATTCGAGACACAATATTTGCCCTCTGGGCACGCGAAGTCCATGATTCTGCGGCCCACAAACCAAGAGCCACGAGAAGAATCAGCTCACATAAACTTGACAGTTGCCTGTAATCACTCTGGGTCACACATGTCGCATATGAAATTGACAGTGCAAATCGCTGTATCCCTCCGCAGAATACAGAGCAGCCTGGAGATCGAATTACACGAACAGTCACGGATTGTGAGAGTTCATTATTCATTATATAAGTCCTTCAAAATATGGTCGACTTTACGCACCCCTGACCCTAGACAACTACAGGTTTTCTCGGCGCAGAATAAAGCTCAGAGACCTTTCAAGATCTACTCTTCATTTGCAAAAGAATGCAAAACGTTTCTGAAGACGTTAACGAATTCCGTAAACCATTTCAAGCCCAATCTAAAACTTACAGAAAGCAGAGATGAACTCGCAACAAAAACAAACAATCAACTTACCAGACGAATTACTCTCCGCTTTTTCAAGATCCTGGTGCTCTACGTCTTCTTTCTTAGCACAAACTACAGCAGACCTGGACCTCGCTAACCCTAACCTTGCCTTGGTCGATTCCCGAGGTTTTGCTTCAACGACGCTAAACCCAAACCTCTTGGCACGTACTGAAGATACCCTGTGCTGAACAGAGCAGCTTAACCTTGATTCAATATCCAATTTCATCACCACCTTTTGACGACAAGACAGAGAATTCTGAGAGCCAAGTGTGCCACGGTGCTGGTGCTCAATCCGACGCGACCATGGTTGCGCACACTGCCTAGCTCCGGAAAGAGAAAGCCCCGTTGCTTCCATCACGGTCGCAACAACCAAACGACCCCAAGTCAGCCCAATTCACAACGCGATCGCAAAGCCCCACTCCAAGACACGAAATAAGTAGCGATTGAGTTTCACGAGAAGAGGAAGCGACATCCCAGCAGAGCTACAACAATACTTGGGCATTCGAGGCGGAGAGACCCAAATCAGCAGTGGCGCTGAACGGTGCAAGGCGTGAGGGAGGGAGGGAGGGAGGCTTTAGGGTTGCGGGGTGGGGATCGAAGCGTGGCCTGGGAAAGGCCTCTCCGCTGCCTCTCATCGCTCATCTCATCTCTCTCTCCTCTGTGCTTCATCTGCTGCTGCAGCTCTGCTTCTTGCTTTGAGTCGTGGCGCATAATCTCTTCATCATCGCTGCCATCGCTCCTCCGTCCCTTTCCCGTCACCTTTGTCCTCACTCGTCACCGACTCCTCCGCTCTCATTCGGCGACGGAGGGCCACGATTTGGCTCATTTCACACTGCCTGTTGAGGACTTCTGGGATTCAAATCGTCACTTCCTTGGCTCCCGTGTGTAAGGAGTCTTGTATCGTGATTTTTGATACATGCAGGGTGAACTGGTCGCATTGATTGAAAAAGAGGTCCAACGACCCACCTTAAGCCTGCTACTCATGTCACTACTACCCATATTACAATTCATACTAAGATAGAGGTTTTGGTCTTAAATGATATTATAGCTCATATTATTATATGTTGGATCATGTGTAGTTCTTTTAAATATAATATCATGCTTTTTGGATTTACAAATGTTCTAATTGCTTCCTAATATTTGATGAATAATATATTTTGTGAATATCTAGATAATTTTGTTGTGTTACTTGATCAACATTCTTATGTATTTTAAGAATATAGATGAATATAAGCAACATATTTGCTTCATACTAAATAAATTTAAGAATACATGATTATATACTAAGTGTCACAAATATATACATTTACCTCAATAGTTATTTATATGATTAAATAGAAGTAGGTGAATATAGATTAATTTCATCAAGTCTTTTAGAAAAGTTTCCTAGAAGCTTCATAGATGGGGTTTTGACTTTAGATGTATATATAGGTTAGAAACTTGGCCAATAAACTAACCACATGTTGGTAGCTTGTGGAATAAGTTAACTATGTGGCACATACATAGATAACTTGCCTAGCAAGTTAAGACATATGACTAGCAAAGTCAACACGTTTTGGAAGTCTTATATGACATCACTACGTAGCTCCTAGTTATAAGTATATAAAGAGGCAAGAGTGAAGCCTTCTTCACTCTTGTCAATGTCTTTCTAGTCCTTAGTCTTGTTCTAAGACTTTCTAGTTTTCTTATTTTTGGTGATAGCCATTCTAATTTGATATTACATCACCTTTTGAGTGACTTTTTAGTTCTCTTCAGTGACACAAGAGTATATTGAGGATTATCTTTCTTTGAGATTTATGTCCTTGACAGTTTGACAAGAGTGCTAATATACAATTTTTGTCTTGTTTTAGAAGTAAGTGGATTATTCCACTTCTATTGTTGTGTTTTGAAGGTTGTAGACTATCCACCTTTAAACAAAAAATCTTATTTTTTAACATTGATCTTTTCTTTACAAGAGAGTGGATTATCTCTCTTTGTAGAAATTTTTATTAGAGGTTGCAGATTATTCTTTTCTAATTTAATTTTTTGGATTTGTTTAAATTATCTATCGAAGGAAAGATTATGGATGCTATTCTTAGCAAAAGTGAGAATAGATTTACAACTATTGCGAATCTTCATGAGCTTGTCAACACTCTTAGGACAGAAATTTCATGCATCACCAACATCAAACATGGGAGCACTACTTCTATATACATGGAAGAAGTCTAGAGTCTATATCAAGAAGTTGTGTAATTGAAGGAAACAAGTCAATGAGCCTCACAACCACATTCAGGGGATCTTGCTTCTACAAGCTCAAGAAAAATAAGAATTAATATGCCCAAGAAGTTTGATGGAATAAGATTAAAATTTTGAAGGTTTTTATAATAAATTAAGCTCTACTTAAGATTACATCCATTTGAATATGCAGATGGATTTACTCAAGTTGGCTTCATAGGCACACTTCTATCTAGAAGTGCTCTCTCTTGATTTGTACCTTTGATGGAAAAGGATTCTCGACTTCTTTATGATTTAAATTTATTCTTAGAATTATTTATGGCCACATTTGGAGAAAGTGATTGAAAACGAGTAGCAAAGATCAAATTCTTACCTTTACAATAAGGATCACAATCAACTACCACATATACTACTGAATTTTAAAACCTTGCTTGTAATGTGGACTAGAATGACAAAGCACTTATCAATCAATTTTGATATGGATTGAAAGATAATGTCAAAGATTTGTTATTAACAATACCAAAAGTAAAATCTTTGGAACAATTTATTACTTAAGCCATTGTATGCTACAATTGATTATTTGAAAGATGTCAAGAATAAAGACTTGGCTAAAGAAGAACAAGTCAAATAATAGTGGCAACTCCTAAGTTTTTTGAAACATATTCATCAAAGCTAGAACTAATGTAAATTGAAACGATATATTTCAACCCTCTCACGAAGAAGGAAAAGACTCATTGTTGCCAAGAAGGTTTATGTTTATATTGTAGAGAAGCTAAGTACACCATTGTCGTGTTGTAATACGACTATAGGATGAAAATATAAATGAAAAAGTTTTTATTAATATTTAGTCATCTTGGATGTTAGGTACAATGGCCAATTCCAGTGCCAATATTCAAGGGCTAGTTAATGTCATTCCATTGCAAGCTATACCACCGTACGTGACATCGGCAATATGCTCTGCCGACGTCATTGAATCAAGTACCTGTCAAAGACAAGAACTCGATGAAAAAATAATTCAGACAAGTGAGCCTTCACTCAAAGAAAGATAACAAAATATAAATAAATAAATATGTATATTGAAAGAGAAATTGGAATGGCTATTGCCAAAAGACAAGAAAACTAGAGACCCTTGAAACTAGACTAGAAGCAAGAAAGGAGTTGATAAGAGTGAAGAAGGCTTCACTCTTGTCTCTATATATACTATCCAACTAGGAACTACATGGCAACGTTCTATAGGACCTCCAATATGTGTTGACTTTGTAGGACACATGCCTTGACTTATAAGGCAAGTTTTTCTACGTGTGGACTATATAGTTAGCTTGATCTTCAAGCTAACAACATGTGTGGCACATGGCCAACTTGTTGACCACGTTTTTAATCCAAAAAATCAATTAAAGATACCTATGAAGTCAAAGCAACATCTATGAAACTTCTAGGAAGCTTCTATATTAAATACTATAGAATTAATTTACTTTTACCTACTTTTACTTACTTCCACCTATTTGTATATGTAATTACTAGCTTATATAAGTATGTCCATGACATTACCTTCCTTTCTAGGGACGAGTTCCACGAGGAGTGGTCATCATATGTTGAGGAAATCTATCATGCGAAGAATTGTATTCGCCACATACTCTAATCTTTGTTCTCTTCGAAGATGATTGATAGGGCCTCTCAACCATCGGTAGTGTCTTATACTAGGGCGGGAAGACCACCCAGTTATTTGATCATTGTTGAGGCCTTCATAACTTCCTTCAAATAGAACATTTGGAACACCATCAGGAGTTTTTCCTACCTCTAGCACAATCATCAAACATTGAGAGTCCCTTCCCAAATCGTGATACCAAACGCATTGTATCTCGCCATCTATTCAAGGAAGAACATGTCATTCTTGAAGATCTTCATCTCAATTGTGTCGTCTTGAAGGTTGTGACAATCGTAATATCTCATCTGGTAGATCAGCAAATGAAGGCTCTCGAGTCAAATCCACTGGTTGTTGGTTCTCCATCTCCTAAGCATCACTACTACAAAGAAGCTACGAACAAAGATTGAAAGTAGAATGTTATCTTGCCTAGAAGTTGTTTCTTTTATAAAAAAGATTTTCATCTTGATTTTGATGGATATCATTGATGAAAAGCCTCCACTACCTTTGCTACATTTGCAAGATTCTTTATTGGCTCCCATGTGCGTTCACTAATATCATATCCATGCCAATGGATAAGATATTCTAATTTATTTCGGCACTGCCTTGAATCTAAGACTTCTTCTACTTTAAATTCTTTATTATTGTCCACTTCTATAGGAGGAGGTGGAGCTTGTCATCTTCTTGGTATGTCCACTGTCTTGTATGGTTCAAGAAGAGACATGTGGAATATTGGATGGATTTTCATTGACTCTCGTAGATGTAAACGATATGCAATTGGATTGATTTGTGTAGAAATAGAAAATGGTCCAAGTCTTTGATAGTCCAATTTATCACAAGGACGAGTGGTCTTAATATTGTGACGAAGTAGCCATACCTTATTACCCAAGAAGAATGGTGGTTGTTCCTTTCGATATACATCCGCATTGACCTTTTGTTGTTCTTGAGCCTCTTTTAACTACGCCTTTATCGTTGCATGTAGCTCTGATAAATGAATCGCCATATCTTTCTCAACAGGATTATCAACTTTTAAAAAGTCAAAAGTATCAAGTCGTAGATAATAACCATAATCAACAAAAAAAGGTGTTTGTTTTGTAGAAGAATGTACCGTGTTATTGTAAGCAAACTTTGCCAATGGCAAAAGAGTTGTCCAATTATCTTGTTGGTAATTAATGGTACATCTTAAATATTGCTCCAAAACTTGATTAACATGCTCCGTTTGTCCATCAGTTTGAGGATAGAATGTCGAAGATAGTTTTATATCCACTTTAAGAATCTTGAAAAGAGTCCGCCAAAATCTTGATACAAAGTGTGTTCCCCTATCTGATATAATATCCTTGGGTAATCCATGATAGCGATGGATATTATCAAGAAAGAGCTTAGCTGTTTCTTCACCAGTGATAGATTTTGTACATGGTACAAAATGTGCCATCTTGGTAAAACGATCTATTATTACGAATATAGAGTCATAAGAATCTGACATTGGAAGATCCGTGATGAAGTCCATAGAAATAGAAGACCATGGTTGTTCTTGAATGGATAATGGCTGAAGAAGCCCAAAAGGTTGATGACGAGGAGTTTTTGATCTTGAGCAAACATCACATGATTGTACAAAATCTTTGACTGCCTTCCACATTTGAGGCCACCAAAAATCTCTAGATATCAGCTCCAAAGTCTTATTATATCTAAAATATCCTGCTATTGGAAAGTCGTGACGAGCTTGAAGAATATGTAAACGTGCTTCTTCTTCTGGAACATATAGGCATCCTTCGAAATAGAGTAGGTTGTTCTTGAATTCAAATTTAGAAGGATCATGAGATTTAGAAGAATTATTCTTGATATCATGAACAAGAGGGTTTGAAG